GGATGGGGAGTGAGCTAGGGCGCCCGGGGCTCCTTTATTGCTCTGTAACTTGCAAGTGTAGCCAAGCCCTTAGAATTACTCCTGGTTTGCAGTGGTGTAATTGAGAAAAGAATCACACCTACAATCCCTTCCCCAAGCAGCTCAGGGTGTGTTTATATTATGGTTTTAGCCATCAGTTAACAAGGCTTTAGGCACTGTTTCTGGCTCATGTTTTGGCCTCATGACACAAATTGGGAATTCCCCCAGGAGGATCCCATGTTGTTGTACTCTTTCTCCTCCTCCATCCCCCCTGACCTTTGGAGTCCCAGCATAGGGAGGTGCTAAGTGTGGTCCTGGGATTAACTGGTATAGTAAGGAGGAGGTGTTGCTAGAGCACTCTGCTTTCTGGCTATTTTCGGCTGCTGATATAAAACATATCTTTCAAAAAGAAGAAAATTTTTAGAAGTGCATCCACTATATCTACAATTACTCCTGTTCCATAAATAAGGCAAAATGCTGGGTAATCTGAGGAAAGTACTATAACTCACCATTATCATCTCCACCCCAAACAGGCTGCCCCAATAGTGGCAGTAATATGAATCTGTATTGGTGTGTGAGACCAGCACTACAAACGATTCCTTGTGTGTAAGAGAGGGGAATAGTTGAGTAGATGAAATCCACTGCCAAATCAGCATAAGGAGCAGTGCTACATGTCAGCCCCTGCAGCGACTGTGTTGCCAAGTCTTGCAATTTTATAGTGAGAATTTTATATCATATTTAGTGTTTTACTTAAAGCCCTAGTTCCTGTAGTCAAATGACCATTAGAAAATCTCGGCTTTCATTTTAAAAAAGTAAGTTTATTGCAGTCATGGTTATGGGGGGGAAAAAAGCCCCAATGTACATTTAAAAAAAATTACGATTTTTAAGCCAATGTTAAGATGATGATGATGATTGATTATTATTATTTATTTAGGCTTGAGTCATGATTTTTGAAGTCTTGGGGTTGGCAATTAAATTCTTTTTCCTAGGTTGAAATAGCAGCTGCAGCCTACCCATGTCAGTGCTGTAGGCTATTTGAGCTACCAGATGTGCATAAACATGGATCTTATGTCCCTTCCCTATTTCACACCTTATGTATGTATGTATGTATGTATTTATTATTGAGACTCGAAGCAAAAGATAAGAGAAAAAATTATGGGATATGGTGAGATAGTGATTAAAAACATCTTTTGTCCTCTACCATCATCATACATCCTTTTATTAATACCATCTGTATTTTTAACTAATGTGTAATCATTAATGGTTTTATATTTTCTGGAAAAAAGTATTCAGTATATCTCTAACTTTTTTGGCAAATCTTTAGGAACAAATATAAAAGAAACTAGAAGCTAGCAAGATCTCAAGTTATATCATGTACCTGCTACAAGAATAAATAAGAAATCAAAATTAAATATATTAACTCTAAAATAAGCAATAAGCAAGGAATTTCATTTTTTGTCAAATTAAATATTACTGCCTAATTTCACAGTTTACAAATGGCTGTTTAAATAGCTAAATTATGATATCGTTTTCAACACTTGCAAGTTTTCAGAACGTGAAAGTCTTTAAAGGCTAAATCTTAAAAGATGATATAAATTTGTATATTGCAGATACAGAATTTAAATATGGATAGAGACTTTAAGACAACAACACCTGCTTATACTTTTCAAAGTTCTTCAGACAGATTGCTTTCTATTCAACTGTTAGATTTTAAAACAAGTTTACTAGAGGCAGTAGAAGAACTGCGTGTAAGAAGGGTATGTGTGCTAACATTATTTTGAACTCCCAATTCTTTGTGTTATTTCCAACTGTTCATTATTCATTGTAAGAATTCTTACTCATCTATAAAAGCAAATAACCCACTTTCATACAAAAGAACACTTATCCACCAAGATTTTGTATCATAAATATCATGGAAGTTTGTAGTGTGTATATTTGGGGCATATATTAGACTTGGACAAGTTAGTTCTTATGGGTACATTGGGACAATGAATACAACTGTCACATATTTATCTATCAAAAAATACAAGTGTTTACCAAATTAATAAGGCAGAAATTGTCTATAGTCAACTTTTATTTTCTATTGTGTTTATTTTATTACCGATATATCCTTCCATATCAAAAACCGTTTCAAGAGTGACTCGTGATGTGGAAAGCAGGCAGACATGTAGATGTACACCCATAAGTGAGTTTATCTGAGTCTTTTTTTAACAGATTGATTTATCATTTACCAGGAGGGATGTAGCTTTGACCTGCTTTTCAGTCAGTATACCGGTGCTTTCACTAAATTAAAAAAGAAAGCAAATAGATGGTTAGTATCTTTGACATACACAAATACATTTTTTTCAACCATCTCATTGGTTGTAAACATAGTCAATAAAGGACAAAGTCAAACTATTACTTTAGAGACATCGTGAGCACTGCCATGCTAAGATATAAGTATTTCTTGATTTTAAAATAAAGAAATAGATGGAGATTCATCTTTAAGTATTGCAATTATGTCTTTATAATTAAAGGCTAATAGTCACACCTATTTTATTTTTCAGTTATATTGCAAAAGATTCTAGTGTACATTTGCTAATGCTTTTCTTTTTAGATTTTTCTGAACGATTTTCTTTCTGCCTTTCACAGAAGAAATATACTTTAGTTATTTAATATCTTTGTCCTGTTTGACAAAAGTGTATTATAAACATTATACAAAAAATGTTTGCATTGATAAATGTTTACCTTTGTTTTGATCTATTTTAAAAGTTAAATGGCACAACGGTTTTAAAAAATAATACTACATCTGTAATGGCTGGTGCACAGTATCTAAACCAGAAGCCTCCCGGCCCTTGGTGCAATTGCAGTTGTTATAAATTCACCACACCCTAATCACTACGAACTGTGGGTTTAGTCTAGGACAGAAGGAGTTTAGCACAGTACAGCCATGTTTGCAGTAATGAAGGGACTCTGGAGAATTTTTACTGAGATAATAGATCAGAATAGCAAACTACCACTTTTCCCCATAGGGATAATATATTTTGGTCTCGTGGTAGCCTGTTGCCCGTTACACTATCAGAGTTTTAACCTCTTTATTTCATTTGGTTAGAGTCATATAACACTATGCAAAAGGTCTCTTGTAAAGTATCATTACAAAGCTTATAATCCACAGAGTGTGGTCATCCTATTTGTGTAAACGTATCACTCTTGTATCTGAAACTAGAAATATGAAATATAACTCTGAGGGCCTATTGTAATTATGCAAAGTGTGGGCCATTAATGGTGGTTTGGAATCTTGATGGCTCCCATCAGCCAGGACAATTGACTGTGGATGGCTCTGTTTGCAGGCAGGCCTTCTTGTGAGTCAGGCTGGGAGGAATGAAGGCTTGGAGTCTCACAGGAAATGTGACCATGTCACCTGGTACTGAAATCCATCTTAAACCTGGTGCTTTTCCATTTAGAAGGGGGGGAGGAGGGGCAGACCCAGAGAGACAAAGGATTCATGCCTTGTGCCAAAGCCATATAAGGGGGTGGAACAGAACAAAGGGGCCGGCAATCATGAGAAATCACCTAGCTACCACCTGAGCTGGAGCAAGGGCTGTACCAGGGGAAAGTATTGTGGCCAGACTAGGAAGGCATCCAGTCTGTGATAGAAGCTTATTGAAACATCTCTGAGGGTGAGATTTTATCTGTATTCAGTTTTCTTACTGTTTAGGTTTAGATTTGCATGTTTTATTTTATTTTGCTTGGTAATTCACTTTGTTCTGTCTGCTACTACTTGGGACCACTTAAATCCTACATTCTGTATTTAATAAAATCACTTTACTTATTAATTAACCCAGAGTATGTATTAATACCTGGGGGGCGGGCAAACAGCTGTGCATATCTCTCTATCAGTGTTATAGGGGGCGAACAATTTATGAGTTTACCCTGTATAAGCTTTATACAGGGTAAAACGGATTTATTTGGGGTTTAGACCCCATTGGGAGTTGGGTATCTGAGTGTTAAAGACAGGAACACTTCTTAAGTTGCTTTCAGTTAAGTCTGCAGCTTTGGGGCACGTGGTTCAGACCCTGGGTCTGTGTTGGAGCAGACTGGCATGTCTGGCTCAAGAAGACAGGGTGCTGGAGTCCCAAGCTGGCAGAGAAATTAGTGGCAGAAGTAGTCTTAGCAGCCCCAGGAGGGTTTCTCTGACCCAATCCATCACACACAGTTCTTTCCTTGCTCTGAGAGAAGAGTGAGTTACTTCACCTTTTTCATGAAGTAATTTACTCCCTACTGTGCAGCTGACCAGTGAGTAGGAGAGATGGGGCTGAGCCAGAGCAGAGGTCTTCAAACTGGGGGGCATGCAGAAATATATTCAGGGTGGGGAGAGAAGCTTTAGGGGAAAAAAACGTATTGTGCACATTCAGAGCTGGGTGGCTGGAAAGTGGCGGCTACTGGCCAGGCACCCCCCACCAGCAACAGCGGAGAAGTAAGGGTGGTAATACCATATCTGTCGGCAGTGCTGGCAGCGGTGCTGCCTTCAAAGCTGGGTGGCCAGAGAGCAGCGGCTACTGGTTGGGTGCCCAAGGGAGGAGTATAAACCACTACAGACACAAAGAAGGGGGGCATGATCGAATAAGTTTGAGGACCATTGACCAAGAGGGATTCCCATTTCCCGCCCATCTCTGCCCCCACTTTGCTGAGTTGTTCCCTAGGAACAGGATTGGGCAGGTAGCTTATCTACCTTTCTCACATGTATCACAAAAGTAATCTTTTTCCTTACCATATTTAGAAAATTTTACATATTAAAAGAACATGAAGGTGGCAAAGTGAAACTCAAAATTTAGGAATTCCAACAATCAAGGTTGCCCACAGAGCTTTACTTTGGTTCCCTTGTGCCTGTGTATTATGATACAATCTTTAATTACATGATCACATACTATTTTTCCACAGGGCCTCTTTTAACCTTTTTTAATGTAATCTCCTAATAAATAATAAAAACAAAACTGAAAGAACCCCCTCATAAATTCTGTCATGTGGAACCATGTCAACCTGTAAATTTGGTCAACCGGGTTTGAACCTTTATATCCACAACAGAGAACTCCTATCGCTTGAAGTAATAGAATAACTGGTAGCAGGCACTAGAGGGGGATGAGCTATACACTTTGCCAGTGGATTTCACAGCTTGTGCGCTGATATCCAAGGAATGTAGAGACAGGGCTCCTGGGATCAATTATAAGTTCTGGAGGGGAGTGTGTTCTAATGGCTATAGACTCCTCTGCTCCAGTCTGTCTCTGCCCCCTTCTGTTCTGTTCCTATTCATCCCCTCCCAAATGCTCTAGCTCCTTTCCTCGTCCTCCTCCTGTACCTATAGACCCTCCAGCCCCATCTCCTCCTTTTGCTGTTATCCACTCTTCCAGTGGCTCCTGTTCTCCTCCCCTACCTCTGTCCCCTTCTGCTTCCCTCCATCCTTTAGCTCTTCCTGCTTCTCTTTTGTTACTTCCTACCCTCTGGCTCCTGCAGCATTCTACCTTCCCTCCACTCAGCAGTGAATGTAGCTTCCCAGTTCAATGGGTGCACTATACTAAACTCTTCTTGGACATGATTTTGGGTTGTAGTCAAGGGACCACCAACCACCCATAGCAGCACCTTCCACCCTGGCACTGCAACCCTAATCCAGATCCAGTGTGGAGGAAAGGCCCAGGAGGTGAGGGTCTGGAGACTGAGCAGCAACTCCTGTCCCACAGGGTTGGGGCTGGCTCCTCGCTCTGACCATTGTGATGTGTGGCACATGTAGTCGAAGTCCCACTCAAGTTTGGCACTTTGGTTTCATGATTTCTGTAAGTGCAAATGAACCCACACTAAAGCCACCCCTGCCTCAGGCTGCTTCCTCTTATTATTACTCCAGGTTTCCCGGGTGTCAGCAGCAGGAACATTGAGAAACCATTTCCCTGCTTTCATTTCCTGTGCCCATACTGTGACAGCCCCTAGCTGCTGGGAAGATTAATTGTAGGGGAAATCTTTCTCTGCCCCTGGAGCTCTGATATGGAGCATGCTTGGAACAGACAAAATCTTAGTAGAGTTAGCTGCCAACCTTTAACACATCTGTATTGAACATGTGCAAATTGAGATTTTTGAGAGGCTTATAACTTGGCCAAATTTCAGTTAATTTTTACATGAACAGCAAAAGGCAGATCCGTGTCACCAGCATGTCATCCCCTGTGTCAAATTTCAAGCCCTTGCTCCAAAGCATGGAGGTGCAAACTGTATTTTTCCCTAAATTGGTCTCAGAAATAGTGGAACTATTTAGCTGAAACTTAAAAAAAAAAAAAAAACCAGACTGAGACCAACGTAAAGTTTTAGTTTGATCAATTAAAGTTTGTCAAAGCTATAAACAAGTGAAATCAGGGTCTTACAATGGAGAGTGTTAGGCAACCCTAACTGTTGGTGATGCTACCAGCTTTGCCTATAATAATTTGTACTGTATATGTTTTGCTATCATTCCCTTTTCACATTGCTTTGGTGATTATTTTCTGAATATAATAATGATTTCAGTCTCCACTTCTTCCTTCCACCTTTATGCTGCCATTTTAAAAAAATACTTTACTTCTTCTGTTAACTTATTTTCACCCTCATTAGTAAGTCAGAAAGGCTGGATTCCCCTTTCCATCATCCCTAACTTTTCCACTTGATTTATTGAACACTGGCATAAATATATGGTTCCTGAATCTTAAGAACCCTCATCATTTCTTTAGAATCAGTGATAGGGAGAGGCAACTGGATGTAGTTTTCTCCTTAGTAAGTGTTTAAGTTTATAGCTGCTCTCTGTTGCTAGTTAATTCATGGATAGCAAGGATGAAATCTTCTGTGTGCCTTCTTAAGTGTACTAAAAAAATTAGGAAACACTTCCATTATGCAGACAGAATAATAATTTTCATATGCAATTTATCATTTGCATGTGCAATTAATGTTCTGCATTAAAAATACAGGGTTTTGTGCCTGCAAAACAGATAGTCTTGAAAATTTTATGGGAGCAATCAAAGAAACATTTTGAAAATGTGGCCCTCAGTGTACCATGATAACTGAATAATAATTATAATATCTGAGAGACCAGGTAGGTGAGGTATTATCTTTTCATTGGATCAACTTCTATTGGTGAATGAGTCTAGCTTTTGAGCTGTACCAAGCTGAAGAAGAGCTCTGGTATATAATTTTGAAAAACAATTGAACAAATATTTAAAAAAATAATATGTTGCGAGTTCACATTTTAAGGGACGGGGACAGGCAAACTGCTTGTCCTCTTTCCTTTATAAAATGTTCTATATTCATACACTTAAGACTCTAAATATCAGTACAGCTTCATTTAACATTGTATACAACTTCTACATCAGATTGTAATTACTGTAAAGTGCTACCTAATGTAATAATAGAAGGAAAGAAGTTAAGAAGTATAGGGAGAGGAAGAAAGTTATTAATGAGATTTAAAATGAGATGGCGCCTCAATGAGGCAGATAGATACAAGAAAGCTATTCCAGATGGTAATAGTTGCAGTAAACACTGTTCTTTAAGTAGT